GCGACAATTTAATCCCTGTGTCTTAGGAGTGAGTGAAAGCAGATGGAATGGGTGTAGAAAGATGAAAACCACCACCAGAAAAAAACTGTCCTCTTCTCTGGAATAGATGACAAGCTACATTAGGAAGTAGCCATCATTCTCTGGAAAGGTTTAGAGCGGTGCCTGTTGGAATGTAAGCCAATAAATAAAAGATTGATTAGCAAAAGTTTGAAGGACAAACACAACACAAAACATTACTACAATGCTATGTATCAACTGACAGTAGCGATGAAGACAAAGACAACTTTCAAAGTCAGAGACAGAGAAAATCCGATTGCATGTGGAGACTTCAGACGTAGGCAGTGACCATCACCTGATTTCAGCACTCAACAAGATCAAACTGAAAAAAAACTGAGAAAGGCCTAACACTCAAGCACGTTTTGACATTCAGAGACTGACACAGACTGAGGGACAACACTGTGAAAGCTGCCTTCATCAGCGATTTAAGAGTAGAAACGTATACCAAATCTAGCAATATAATATTGGACGAAGAGGAGACCATTGTGGAAAACACATGGAAGCAAGTGGTCAAATTGTATACTGAAAGCAGAAAAGAGACTTTGTTGACAAGAAAAACACCAACAAAGACTGTATCGAACATGTAACTCTGATTGCTATAGAGGAGAGAAAGGAAGTCAAGAAAAAAGATACTGCAGATCAAGTATCCACAACTGCATGAGAGGCAAGAGGGGCTGTATATACAACTGAGGCAGAGGCAGCGGCAGCACACGGAGGGCAAAGAAGAGAGAACAAATTGGTAAATTTAGAGGAAACACAGGAATTCGTAGCAGGGACTAACGCGGAACACTGCTGACAACAGAAAAAGAATAAGAAGGGACATTTGCTAAACACTTTCATGAACTACTTTATTGAAACAGGTGTTTATTCAGAAGCCATAGAAGATCCCGAGACTGATGAGATAATGCATACCCTTAAGAACGGGAAGTCACCACGGCGAGACAATCTTAATGCATAGCTACTTAAAGCAGATCCTGGAATAGCAGCCACCATCCTCCAATCACTGCTTACAGCTGTGTGTGATGGAGAGAAAATATCTGATGACTGATCACTGATGTAATGTGATGATTATCAAGATCCCAAAAGAAAGGAGCCCTAACAATTGTAACAACTGGGGGTGGTGGGTGTCACTCTATTGTCTGTGTCAATTAAGATTCTGGTCAAGATAATCATCAAAAGAATGTTAAAAATTGTTGACGCTGTATTGAGGAAAAGCAAGCAGGATATAGGAAAAATCGAGGGTGTACTGACAAGATCTTTGCACTGTGCAGCACCATAGAGCAGTGCACAGAGTGGCAGAGGCAACTGTACAGAATGTAAACTTCGTAGACTTTGAAAAAGCTTTCGAGAGCAGACACCGATATGGCCTTTGGAGCACCCTACGTCATTACGGTATTCCATCTAAACTGTTCCACCTGATCAAGAACTTTTATAACAACTTCAGATGCTCAATAGTACACAATGACATCTTCTTCGATGTTAAAAATGGAGTCAGACGAGGATGCGTAATGTCTGCAGTATTACCGGACCTGGTCATCGATTGGATGCGTAATGTCTGGTTCATACAAAATACTCTCAAAGGGGAATCCACTGGAACCGGTTCTCAACTTGCGGATAACCTTGCGCTAATGTCTCAGGCCTACCAGCAATTCCCAGAGAAGACCAACAGACTTCAAACATCCGTACAGCATGCAGGGCTACCAATCAGTACGATAAAGACGAAGACAATAAAATTTATGTGGAATTGTTTGCTCCTGTTAAAGTCAATGGTGAGTAGCTATGCCAGAAAGACAACTTTATTTACCTAGTTTTAAACTAGAGGATTGCACAAAAGTGGACATCCACAGCAGATTGGGAAAGGGCAGGAGAGTATTTAGAGAGGTGAATAAAATCTGGAGGTTTGTACAATACAGCATCAGTGTAATGCTTTAATAGAGTTGTGTTGTATCAACTCTCCAATATGGATGCCGAAGAATATCAGTAACAAAGGCAGATCTTAGCAAACACTCTCGATCCTTCCAAACCACATACTTCCGTTGAGTACTCAAAATTTTCTGGCCAAAGAAAGTTACAAATGAAGACCTGCTGAGCAGTTGCAATCGAGAGGACTTGGGTACCATAATTACTAAAAGGCAAGGAGATAGATGTGACATGTTCGCCGAAAAGACCCCAGCCAACAACAAGAACAGCACAGCATTGAACCAAAGAGGACAAAAGAAAGAGGGGGTAACCTGGAACATCATGGCTAGGGACAGTTACAACCGAGATGAAAGTCATGCACCAGACCTGGAGATTATTGACGAGGTTTCCCCAGGATAGAAGTTGCTGCCCTACACGCCACAAAGTGTAAAGACAATCTAATTAAAATTAGATGTTCCGAATCCGCTATCGCTTCTCAAACCAATCTAATTAAAATTAGGAACATCTAATTTTAATTAGATTGAGTGTAAAGGACGATGGTGAACTTACTTTGGATGTAGGAATGTAATACCGGGTTTATGATTTGAACTTTTATTCTAAATTCTACGTACTCCATCACTTCTTCCCTAAATTGACACTTCTGAATACATTATATCCGATGTAAATGTATTCAATTTAAGCTATCAGTGAACAGAAGTACACATGGGGGAAAGGTGGGATCAGTCGATACGTTTTAAATAAGCAGGTATATTATGAATGGAATTATGTTTTAAGCTTTGGACACTTCAGGAAAGACAACTGTAAAACTTATGAAATATCTAGTTTGTGAACAATTAAACTTTGCGATAATTGTAATGACTTCAGTTTTTTATCATCAACTCCGCTAATGCTAAATTTAGCAATATACAATTATCACTTGCAAATGGATTTTTTCCCCTCTCAGTTAATTTGATACGCAAAAACATTATCAGTTTTAAGAGGGGCACACTGCTATACTTCAACAGCCCTAAATACGAATTTTCGGACATACTGCACAACAGTATACTAGTCTAACTTCTGATTCGAATCAGCTGTGGATTCTCAGAAACTCAATTAAAAACTTTAAAAAATTTGAAAACAGCCAAATTTATCTGAAAGCCAGCAAAATCAAAACGTACACATTAAAATAAAAATATACCCACACATTTTATCCAAACAGTCTTCATGGTTGTTTGAAAACTAGGCCTTTAGATATCATAGAAAACTGCTTCTTCAATAAAAGTGGAAGTCCGGAATATTTCAATTTTGTGATTATTCTTTAACAAAATTACTCTGTGAAAAAATCACCCTTACTCTGAACACAAGTACTTCAATGTTTTTATCGACAATGTTCTTTATTAATGTAATTCTACTATCACCTAAATATAGTGCCACTGCCAGAACTACTCTGAAGTCATCGGGTTTTATAATTTGCAGAACACCGAAAAACAAAAGGTTCCGAACACATTAGTAGGGGTGTATTTAAGCATGAACTAATTTAGATTTAAAATTTTCCTTGTATTTATATATAGTTAAGTATGGGGAAAAGGGGATCAGGTTTCCAGCAATGTCTACAAGACAATTGATTGTGCAAGTCAAACAATGGGCCTTAATAAGAGCAAATTAAGAGTTTACCATTAGAAACTACATATTATTCGATTTCAAGAATTTAATCTGAGCTAGGAGAGTAAATGTTTAACGCTAGGCAGACATGAAAGGCATTTCCAAAAAAAAATTTAAAGCCATCATTTCGTAAATTTATTGGTCATAATTACTTTCTCAGCAAATAAAGCATATCAGAATACCTTGTGAAAAAGGATATTTACAACAAAGTAATATTTAATTTACATCCTTAAATTAATTTATGTAAAACGTTTGATACGGCAGACCCATGTTAGCAATTAAGTTTCTTGATCCCAAAATTTCTTATCCGTGATATTCAAGTTATTCTCGAAGATCTCGTTGTAAATTGATATGATTTATAGGCTCGGCCGTCGGATGCTAAGATATGCGTGCGGGTTCTCACGACTTTCACCATTCCCTCACAGAGCTTTGTCAGTGAACGCGCAAACAAAAATTCTGCTGTAATATTAATTGTCTATTCAATTTGGATAGAAAAGTACGAATTCTAATTTTTGATGGTTATTTTCCTCGGTATGTTGGATCTTTGTTGTTTTTCGATTCGGAATTAAACCTTTTAATATTGTGGAACAGAACTAACTTTGTTGGTGGAAGTATATAATTCAAAACAATGATGTCTACCCTGATTGCGGGGATTGCATTGTGAATATACTGGCTTTAAGTTATCCACAACAGCGGTTAATTATTTTGGAATTTGCGGTGGCTTATTATCATAATCAGCTCATATACTGCATTATATGTTTATATGTATGGCATTTAGTGTTTTTTCATATAATCATTTATGTCTGTCTGCCTACCACTCACAATTAGAAATAGAACAACTCCTCCATAAAGATAAAATAGGTCATTTATTGAATATAAATGACAATAAACAAATAAAATACATACAATAGCCTGTTGCATGAAATACACAGTATGCTCAATCAAAAAGCATGCAACTAGGCTAACAGTCCTACTAAAATAAATACAAGATTGCATGAACATATTCTGCATCTGCTAAATAAGTTATGTACAACATGTAAATGTATATGTTTAAGTAAAAAAGTAAAAAAAATACTTGGACTAGTACATTAATGGGACTAGAAAAAACAATAACATTACATAGTGCAAAATATGTTATGGGTCATTTATAATGTAAATAAATGGCATTTTTCAACTCACATAATCTTATTTTTGTTTCTTCGTACCAAACACAGTTAAACTATTGTCAGTGGATTTACATAAATATAATTATATTATCCTTAAGTCAAATTGTAGAGCAATATGAGCGTTATCTTTGATGTAAGAAATTTTTGTTGCAATATTGTATTTAATCATTCATATAAAAGAAAAGAAAAACATTTATAAACTTCTATTCTTTATATTTACGACGGAAGAACTTTTTGGAAGCTTTGATGGAAGCAATTTGCACTGCAAGTATCGCCAGAGGTTTGCTCTTTCAAGTTCTGATATGCACCTCTCTGTCCTTCTTGTGATTTTGGCGGAAGATTCACAGCAGAAGGTTGTTGGGGAACATTTACAATACGTTCGTCTTTGTTGCTTTGTGGTATATTTGGAAGAGGAAGTACTTTACAAGAATTCACATCTGACGACCTTGTGGATTCTTTTTGATTTCCAGTGGAAGACGGTAATGGTCTTGTAGGAACAGGTGGAACAGTATCATCTACTTTTACACCTCCAAGACAGACATTCACCTTATCCTCTGCGTCAGTTTTATTACCCATCCTTGATACTGGAGGAGGTGTTCGACCAGAATTATCTTCAGTGTCTTTAACATCATTCGCTTTGACAATTGGTTTTGGACGTGTTGGTGGTGGGGGTGGTAAGTTGTGTTTACCTGTCACGTTGTCTTTATTCTCGTTGGTATTGTAATACGACGCTGGGGGTGGGGGAGGAGGTCTTCTCGGTTGAGGCAGAGGAGGAACTTCATTTGAAGAAACTTTGCCATCACCTTCCGTTGTTGCCGATTCTTTTAATTCTTTATCATCATAATCATAAATGTCCTCATATTGCTCTACATTTGGTGTTAAGTTTCCTCCCGGTTGTGCCGGTTGAGGTGGAGGTGGAAGACTCAGAACTTGTTTAGGAAGAGTCTTTCCAAGTCTAGAAAGACGAGAATATAATTTAAGATCTTTTAAAAATCATATTTTGAAAAACGAGAAAACAAATATCCAATAACAAAATAAAATACCGAATTTCAAGAATCTGAAGAATCGTTTTCATGGATGGCCTGTCAATTTTCTGATGCAAGAGACAAGGCCTGGTGACTTCCTGGTAAAACCAATCCGGGCACTTGACCTGCTTTTCTGGGATATATCCCTCTATTAAATGCTGAAGAATCTGATTCAAAATAAAATGAAAAGCAGCAGTTTATTATTTTCCTGTTTATGCTTTTTAGATTAAAAGAATGAAAATTTATGTGTAAGACAAAAATCTTTATACCTTTTCCGATTCTTGGTAGTTGAATGGTACACAAAGCAGTTCTCGTTCTTCGTCCTGATCATACACAACTCCTTCTTGTCCAAAAGCAGACATGACCTCCCATGTGATCATTCCAAATGCATACACATCACTTTCTTTAGAATAAAGACCAGCTTTAATTGCCTCTATTGGGAGCCTACATTTACATGTAAAATTATTTCAAAGATTAAAATCTAGAGGTGCTGTGAGCAATAAGCTCAGTAAATGATACCCCCCCCCCCGCCTCCCATAGGTATATAATGGCAGCGTCCATGTTTTCTGTGGAAAACCAAAAATGTGTGTCGGATCAAAAAGTAAAATAGGAGGTGCACAATGGCAATATGTAATAAAGATTCTATATGAAAGTTTCACCAAATTTCATTCAGTGGTATGAGAGGAGTTGCGAATAAGAGATGGGTACGTACCCCAAAGCGTAACAGACGGACGGACATACCGATCACTATATACCCTCCCGCTTTTCAAGCGGGGGGGTACAAAATATTTATATATAAATTTAATATTCAGCTTTCTTCCAAGAGTAACGTGTATTGCTCAAGTAGACCATATATATATCAAGAAGACTAACCATTGTATTCCTTCTGTGTCTTCCATTTTTTCGACTTTGATCTGCTCCAGGTGTGTGTCGAACTCAGACGACGCTATCACCCGATATTTACCAAATTTGGGCACCACTATAGTTTGTTCTCGTTTCTACAGTACAGAATTATGTTTTAAGATAGTTCTTTACTTTTGGTTTTATTTTAATTTAGAAAAATTAAGAAACCTTCAAAAAATGATTTTTATCACCAATCTTGAAAAATATTCACTAAATATAGTGAAACATTTAGAAAAAAAAAAAAAAACTTTACTTTTGTTTCTAAAATCCAGACGTTCTTAGCTCTAAGACATCGAAAAATCCATCCAGCTGTATGAAAAGAGTCGATGTGATTGGCCAGTTCATACAGAAGTTCAATATATGGACCAATCATTTGACCCCGTTCTTTGTGAAGGACTATATCAAGAAGGTGTGTGGATCTAGGGAATTTGTAGTGCTAAAAAATACACAAGTAATGATTCACAAAATTCATTAAAAGAAAGTTCAATTGAACATTTATAAAACAATTTTGCTGATAAAACTTCTGTGTATGACTTACCAACTGTTTAGAACCGTCTGCTGACACGCTTTTGGTCGGCGGCCAAGGTTCTACACACATCTTACTGCTGTCGATTTCCTTCAGTCTGTTATATGTAAATTTCAAAAAGTCTTCACTTACTTTTTCCATCACTTTCATCATGCTTGTTCTGTCCTGTATTATATTTAGAAAAAAAATTAAGTTGAAGTATGAGACAATCAAATAAAATAGGAATTGAGAAAAAATCACATTTTAGCACTTGTAAAACATCACAGCATGGGACGTTAGTATTGCTAAAAAGATTTGTACATTTGGAAATACAGAATCAGTAACCTCAGTCTCGATCTTGTAATATTCGTCAGAGGATATTTCCATGACTTTGACTCCACTTTGTTCTTTCAATTTGTTGTTGTTTTCCGCTACTTCCAATGCAAATACGGTAACGGGATCTAAATATACAAACTGAATATGAACAAAAAATGTCCCAATTAAATATACTTTGAACAGAATATTTTTAAACAATGCAATAATATTTTAGGGCATTTCAATATCACATTTTAACGTATAACAAAATTCCTGCAGAATCGTAGGCTACAATAAGTAATACGGTACTGTGGATCAGCCAGTGTAGATGAACAACAAAGTATATAAAATAGTTATAGCTTCTTAAAAATAATCACAGAAGGAAAAACCAATCTGACATTTCTCAAAGGTATTTCAAACATTTTTATTATTACTTTGCATTTTATATAATTTCCTCACATATATTTTCTGTTTTCCTTTGAGAACTCGACTGGAACGAGTGGTTTTCAAATTTCTACGTAGGTATGTATTCTTGGGACCCGTATTCTTTTATTTTCTTGAGAAATACTGGATGAAGACATTGAAAGTAAGGATGTTCTCAATAAAAAGTAACGAATTCTCCGTTGAATCATTTTAAATCACGGGAACATAATTTCGTGGGGAACTAATAGAGAACGATAATTATTGTACATATGGATCTCATTAGTAGAAAAGTTTTACGAAATCCATGACCATTGGTCCATCACGAACAATGATGATTTTACACAGTATCCAACGTTAAGAATATCAAAATGCCCCCTTTTCCATTCCGGCTGACGACACCTTTTAATTTCATGTTCCAAATTTTTACATATGAAATTTACTTTTCATAAACATTTTAATTCCCTGATAGAAACCATGAAAAAATAATTTAGTGAAAGAAGATATTGGGAAGATTAAAGGAAAAATCTGAGTTTTTACAAGATGAACACTGATGTAGAATCATCTACCATCGTCATTGTGGACTGACACATATTTTTGCAAGCGTTGAGAAAAGTCTCAAAATATGATTTTTTGTTAAACGTAATGAAAGCACATGCAATCGGTTGACGTGCATGTAGATTGTTTTCAAGATTGTGTTATCTGATTCTACAAAGGATGGTACCTTCATCAAGCTCTCTGAATCTGCGGATTGACTTCGGAATTCCCTGAAAGGTAATAAAAATATATTCCCAGTAATTAATCAATTTATGTTCCAATGTCACTTAATGAACTGTGAAGAGAGAAAAGAGCTTACTCTTTCAAATACAGAATTGGCCTTGATCTGCCTTTCTGTCAAGGGTGGTATTTCATACACCTTTGCGTGTGTTCCCTCTACTCCAGAATATGTATCTGAAAATCACAAGAAAAAGCCAGAAATTAGAAAGGTTACACAATTTTTCAAAACATAAAAAAATCAACGATGGTGCAGATTCTTCACATATTTGAGATTCGGAAATTTTCATATCGTTCTTGAACGTTGTAAACAATGGTACAAGAATACCGTATAAGGTATAGCTTCCCTCTCCGCTGATATTGCTAGAGATGTCCAGTAATCTCTCTCGCAGTGCCTCCAGTTTTAGCCTCTGTTCTGGGATTGTTGCCAGCCCTTCTAAAATTAAACCTTGGACCCTTCTAGGCCGGTTAAATCCTTGGGGTTTAAGATGAGTAAAGACAATCTGGAAATGATAACAATGATGAAATATGAAAAAGAATCCAACTCAAAAGTCAATACAAAATGGGCGCGAAAGAAACAAGGACTTCCAAATGCATTAGAGGTGGGATTATGTTCCATAAAGGAGTAAGTATCTCCTGTCAACCAGTCACTCCCACCAAGTGCTCTTTTAATCAATAGTGGAAAAAGTGTTAAATACGTTTCAATGGTATTGATTTTACATATGTAGTAAAAATTTGTCATTTAAAATTTTCTAAAAGCTTTATATTAGTTCTCAGTCAGATCTGAACAATCTGTTTACATTTGTAATCATATCGTCAATATCGGAGTCGCTGACGTCCGAGTATGGCCACGCTGCATAGTTAAGTATTTCGTCTGCTAAAATGTTGACAGACCACACATCACTGTATATACTGTAATGCCCTTCCAGAAGACTTTCGGGGGCCGCCCACCGTATCGGAACGCCTTCAAAATCCAGATCTAGCAAAAGATCCATGAACAAAGTAATATTAGTATTCAAATCCAAACTATCTTACCTATTACGTAAAAGGGGAGTCCATTGATTTGAAAGATGAGAAATGAAGGTTGCATTCCCATTAGCATGACTTACCTATAAGACCACTTACTATTCCATCGCTTGGAAAATCTGAGGGTTTTGCTGCCATCTCAAAGTTTTTCAACTTGAGAAAATAGCCATTGTCTGTTGTGGCGCAGCAATATGATGACGTCGTGATATCCCTGATGAGACAACCACAGCTATGAACATACAAGACTGCCTCCACTGCCTGCACTATCATCTTAATGAGATTCTCAATGGGAATTATCTTTCCTTTGTCTCTTGCCTCCAGGAGGCGTCTTTGTAAGTTGTCTCCAGGAAGTCTCTCTTTGATATAAAACTTCGGTAAGGTTTGGTTGAATGCAAGAAGCCTGGCTACGTTTTTGTGAATGTCTTTGGACTCTATTTCTTTCAATACTTCCAGTTCATTTTCTAAGTTTTCTTGTCTAGCTAAATTTAGGCTTGTGTTGAATTGGGACGAAGTATTATCATATAGCTCCACATCTCTGACTTCATCTGCGAAAGATTCCAAAAAACATGTGATGGATGCATCCACGTTACAAAATAAACATTGTTTACGTTCATAACTGTTGTTCAGTGGTAACTCTGTCGTGGAAAGGTCAAACACAAATCCATAATTTTTTAGCAAATTTTGCACGTGATCTTTGATGGCTTCTTTTGAACTAACTGTCCCTTTTCTCTTTGCAATTTCTCTGTATCTAGACCGTATTCTTTCATTGTGGTGAAAAAGCAAACTCTTTGACACACTGAATCCACTCGAGTGAAAATGCTCTCCATTCAATATCGACAACAACTGATTTTCGCATTTTTCGAGCATTTCCAATTTCACTAGAATTAAAAAAGAAACAAACATAAGTTTAAGAATCAACATCAAACCATTAAATGGTTAACTCAAGTATTTCTTTTTCACTTTACAAAAAGATCATTTTCAATCTTCTCTTATTTATAAGTTTACAGACTTTGTGAAGATAAGGAAGGGTAAAAAATTGATTGCTTTAAATTTAGATTTAATGCATTACAATTTAAATATATATCACGAAGGATTGTATTGATCTAAATACCAGTATAATAATCATAGAAATATAAGCCAGTAACATTACCATCAGGGTGCTCTTCTTGTAGTATACGAACAATAAATAGACCAAGGAGTCTGTGATGCCATTTCACCACCCCCTCCTCATCATTAGAAACGTCCATAAACGAAGCCAGGCCTACCATCTTCTGCACCCCTGTGTGAAATTTCGACTGCTGTCGCAATACCTGGACACAAAAAAACACTATATTAAAATAATTTGACTTCCTACTACATCTTCAAAAATACATGCATATAGTATATTCTCTCACTTCTAAAATGCTGATTCTTTACAGTGAATAATTATTGATCAGAAATACCAGATTTCCAGTATGAAAAACCACCGCCAGTCCCTCGATACAAATGTGGCTGTCTTCTCTGTTGAAGTCAGGAAGCAAATCGTTCACATCCTCCCCCATCAGCAGACTTTCATCCAAATCTACCTCCTCTAGATCAAAAATACACTTCGCTGTTTTGGCAAAAACCTGAACATCGGGATCACTCCTCTCAAACACACGCTTGCTTCTTGATTGAATAGTGGTTATTGTGTTTTTAATACAGGCAATCCATTGGTCCACTGCTTCAATGGCTCGTAAGTAAATGAAACAATTGAAAATGATTCCGAGTTGGATCAGAGAATGGAAATTGGAGAATGTTTTCTTTGTTTCTGCGATAACAGTGAATAGCTGAGCAGTGCCACTTTGGTATATTATCTTCATCTCATTGGTGGAGAAATTCTTCTGATCAGCACCCACTATCAAATTTGTTAGTTCATTGATGCAAAGATGTCTAACCAGTTTATTTTTGCAAGAAAGAATATTGAAAACTTCTTCGTAAAGTTGTTCTGTGTTATATACTTGTCATATCTTGTTCAACTTCAGTAGAAGATCTGTCCATTTATATACTTTCATCATATCTTGTTCATTATAAAAAAAAAAACTTCAACAATTTTAAAACTTATTATTCTTCAAGAGGATTTGTCCATTTTTTGTTTTTGTACATATTTATAATAATAATTACTAATATCATGATAGCCCACTTTTACAGTTATCTGATACAGTCCTGTATTAAAAAGCATGAATAAATAATAAAGTAAACAATAATCAACTTATTAATCTTAAAGAGGATTTGTAGCATGTTTCTTTTTGTTTTTGTACTTGTAAGGTAATAATTAAGACAGTATCATGATTAGAAACTCAGTAGTCAAAATAACATAAATGTCCTACAAGTAGACAAAATATATGATAATTTTCGACATAGTTTCTGAAAGGTGTCATAATATATATCTGAAAAGTCGACACAAATTATTCAATTTACTACGTAAGACCGGACGCATATACATGTATTGACTTGTCAGATTTTAGATTAATTTTTCAGTTTTTATGTAGACTTGCCAGATAATTGTCAGATAACAAACAGACTTACTGAAATTTAGATATGTTTGAATCTACACTACATGAGTTTAATTTTTCCTTGCCCAGTTGTTCTGGAGAAGAAGATTTTTAAAGATTTTTCCTATATATTCCTATATAAAACTTTGATCGGCCATTTTGGCCCCACCCTACCCCCGGGGGTCATGATAATGTTGAATTGTCAGTTCCTTATCTGAACTTACTATATCCCATTAAAGACTTGAAAATATGTTGTCAGCAGGAGGGACATGATTATTCAACAAGTTGTAGTACTTAGAACTATTTAACATTGAAAAAAGCATTCACAGTACCTTGCGAGGAGAAGAAAAATTTGCTTATCATTGGGCTGTTGCTGTCTTTCTGATATGCTGTAAATTTCTGGGCATCCAGAAATGTGTCCTCCCAGTTTGTATCCTTTTTCTTGACTCTCTGGACGGGGTATCCAGACGCATACCCATACTCCTCGTCATCCAAATCCTCCATTCGTCTGTTGCAAGAGACATGTTGTAGCGGCAGATCCACGATTGAATCTTTGTTGAATATCTTTCCTGTAGTTCGGCTCTTTCTAGGATGCTTTGGAATTGGCGTACACGGTAATAGAGGCGTATATATTGAAGAACTAGGATTGGATGTTGGATCGATGACATCATAGTCTGGCTCGCTGGTTGATGGAGGTGGATCTGGATAAAACTACAGTAATAAATCTAATGCAATGAAATAGGGATTTTATATCTATAATAAATATTGTCAATTCCCATGTCGTCTGACTGAGTTTTTGTCTTTTGCTGAAAGTTTGGGATATTAATTTTTGTCGATCTGTCTGTCCGTCTATCTGTGTCTCTGTAACGCTTTCATTTCCACGCAATATCTCAAGAAGCATTTGAGCTTTTACAGTGAACTTTTGCACAAAACTTCCCTATGGTCTAGGGATTATCCCTTTTGATTTTGAGGACAACGATCAAAGTCATAAATACGAAAATACTGTCTACTTTAACACTTTCATTTCCACGCAATATCTCGAGAGGCGTTGAGCTTTTGCAATGACATTTTATACCACAACTCCCTATGGCCTAAGGATGAACCCTATTGATTTTGAGTTCAAAAGGTCAAGGTTTATGTCCTACATTCATACATTTTATGCGTAATGCGTGTAAAACTTTCATTTTCGGGTGATATTCCAAGAAGCTTTTGAGATAAATTGCAATTAAATCTTATACCACAACGCCTTAGCCCCATCGAATTTGACCAACCCCCTCCCACGACAGCACATTCTCTTCTTTAAGCCTTCCTCAGAGGACACAGATTCTCTGAATTAGCTTATTAACTCTGTAATTGTTTTTTTAACTTTAATTACTGAATAAAGGAAGCTCTTAACACTAACAGAACCTGCTACTTGGACATGGAGAAAAAGCACAAGATATGACAATCTATTGTCAACGGCCTCCCATTTCCTTAAAAAATTAAATGGAAATAAAACTGGAGATGAATAAATTATCTTTTAGATAAGAACCTAAAATAACTAAAACTAGATGTTCCCCAAACGCTCCCCAACTCCCTTTTTGTGCCTATTTCCTGTAAGACATTTTTAAAATATGATCATTATCGAAGAATTTCATCAAAGAATTATAAAAGCTACAATGATATCAACTATATGTCATTTAATGCATTGTACGTGCAAGCACGTGCTTGAACATGCAAGATGATCATGACATGTTGTCTAAACTATTAACATATCTATATTTCCTGAGAATCAATAAAAAAAATCTTTAAAATATGCATGTTACTGTTTTTCAAATATATAGGTCATTTTGCTTATTTTGCGCTCACGTGCATGCATGAGTGTTCGTGCATTCAATTTTGATTGTACCATAATGTAGGAATCCAGTAAACCTATTCATATTCTAAATTTCATCCCATTTAGCTGAAAACTAAGAAAGTAATAGGCATTTAAAGTTTCAGCCAATCAGATTGCAGCAAATGTGCATACGCATGTTTTCATGATAAATCATATATCATGCTGTAGATCTTCATAATGTATGACCATGTTTTAAATTTCAAAGGATTTTAAAAAAACAAGAAATATATTAAGACTTTAGCTTTAGCCAATCAGAGCGAAGCGCGCTTGCATTTTTGTTAGATCTTGCTATTTTGACCATGTCATCACGTCTATACTACTAATATATACTTAAACTATGAGTTTTAAAGCATAAAAATTACAGAAAAGTTACGACTATATCTATTATATTGGTCATTTCACGTGTTGCACGTGCGTTCTTTTGCAAGCACCTGCGCGCAAAATGACCTTCTTTCGGCAAATCTACATATGATGCCTACTGACCCTTAAAATGTTTCACCTTAGTCGGGTGTGTAGTTTACAAGATCAGTCGCGGACAAAATTGTCCCAGAAAGAACAAAAACTAGAAAATCTGCTATTGCAAGCAATAGCGTATGTCGCCCCGAACATGACAAGACTTTCATATTTCGTATCATTAAAACAATACACATTAGCTAATCTTGGACAACCATCAATTCGTATCAGTCCTTTCAGTACTTTAACTATCAATTTCGATCAGCCCTTTCAGTACTTTGATTTAAAAATTGAAATAAAAGAATTTTCACTTTCCCCCTGTTTCCATGGCAACTACTGACGATTTGCAATTTTTAAATGCAACAAGCACAATTAAAGATACTAATCAATAAATCAATAAAGTTTCATGACGAATATCCAAGGGACCAGAGGGAACACTCTCGGACAAAATTCGTCGCTTTTTGCAGGTTTCCATGGCAATGGTAGCCATTTTGAAACTGAATGACCATGGGTGAGTTCGCGTCTCGGCCGCGACTGACCTAAGTTGATAAAAAATGGGTAGCACCTGTTCCTTCGCCATGCGCTCGACACTTTGAAGTGAAAGTTGCGGGTCCTTCGGAAGAGACCTTAAAAACCGAGGCCCTGTGTCAGCAACAGGCGTTGGCACGATAAAGATCCCTCACTTCTCAATGGCCCTGAGTGCCGAGTAAAGGTCAAAATTTGAAGCCCTACACCGACATACGGTGACGTCTCAATATGAGTGAAAAATTCTCGAGAGGGACGTTAAACAATATACAATCAATCAATCAATCTTTTGAGGAAAGTTTCAGGAAGATTGTCCCAGCCAACTCCGAGAAACAGCCTGGAGAACAAAAACACGCGTACAATCGCAATATGTCCTCCCCGACTTCGTTTGGGGCGACATAATAATAGTGAAAAAAACAGAGTAAAACAATATGTTACCCAACTTCGTTTGGGAAACATAAATAGCACAAAAATGTTTCAGTTGTGTGTTAGTTTGTGCCGGGGGTAGCAGTTTCCTACCAACGCGGGTTTGTTGAGGCAACACACGGATCAGAATTCGGCGAATTAACACTTTTTTTTATAATATGGAAGGATGTGGAGATAACGAACAATATTCAATCTCAAAGTCTGTAAAACAATACAAAATAGGAGCAGAGAAAACACGGACCTCCGAAACATCAGAGGTGGGATCAGGTGTCATCACTGAAAGAAAAACCTAGTGAATTTAATTAGGTGTTTCGTAAAGCGTTGGTCGTGATTAGTAAACTTAAAGTTTACTGGTTAAGATAGTGAGTTGTGGAGCAGGGGTCGTATAGCTACTGAGATACCTAGTGAAAGTTACTCATCAGTTCTAAATTTACTAATCTTATCTAGTAAATATACCAATATCTGGTAAAACTACTGTTAAGGTTGTTATTGTATGGACAGTGAATCTACTAGTTTTCTTCGTGACATTAACTAGTTATTTTTTTTACAGTGATGGAGGAGTGAGCATCCCCTGCTGACCGGTCACACCCGCCGTGTGCTCCTTGTCATGATCAGGAAATAACCGAAAAATCCATCGTCAATTCAGTGTATAAATAAAGGACTAACAATTGGTATGAAAAAGTCAGTCAGCATTTGACTCAATGATAATTGTCCTTGCTGACAAGGGCATTGTATCGACCATAGAACTTAAACGAGACTGCTGATATTCTTGTTTCATCAACTTGCTTGTCAATAATTTACCTCGTTTTATACATAGAGCATGCTCCTTCGGATGAGACCGTATAAACCGAGGTCCCGTGTCGCAGTAGGTACTGCCACGAAAAAGATCCCTCACTGCTCAATGGCCCTGAGTGTCGAGTATAGGACAAAGCAGATCTCCACTGGTACGTGGTGGCGTCTCCATGTGAGTGAAAAATTCTCGAGAGGGACGTTAAACAATATACAATCAATCAATCAACCAAAACATAAATTTGTAAAGATGGAAAGTTTGCCTCCTAAAATACCTGGAAAGTGCTGCTAGAATCCCGAGTAAATCATGGTTTTACGAAAAATCTCGGTTCATATGTATAAAATTCAAAACATCAGGTAAGGTTTCGACCGAAGGTGTGGAATAATTATTTCGCTGACAAGACAGTGGAATTCTAGCAGCGCTTTTTCGGCAAAATAGATGTTTTTCAATTATATTATTTACTTAATTTAAAGAAATTATTTAACTCCGGGGTAATGCTGTTCTGATAGCTTTTTATCAAGGGCAATTTTGCTGTTAATAGAAGTCACGTGATGCGGTGGTTGTGGTGCACGTCTTCACGTTAGACAGTCTTTTATCTTTATTTAAGAGATAATACTAGTTTACGTTTATTAGCGGTTTTGGTAAATAATCAAACTTAATTTTCTTTAAAAAGTCTAAATTTCCCGAGAAATAACTTATATGCTTCTTTAACATACACGCGCGCGATTCTCCTTAAACCAAAATTGTTAAATGACATTATTTCAGATTTCCGATAAGCTAATTCCTCAAAATTACAACATCCGCCGTGGTATAAATTTGTATTCATGAATATTTTTTGAATGCTGACTAATATTTCTGACCAATCAGCGTCGATCAATTCTCCATCCAAAATTATATTTAGCAAGCAACAAGATTGCCTTTTACACAGCTTTAAAATACTTTTTGCAAGCATATAAATGTGAGTTCCATTATAATGCAACCTGTAAAAACACTGTTATGATCAAGGAAACTCCATATATGTATTTGATGCACTTTTCATAACTGATCAACACATTACATAACAACCCACACTATACGTTGAACTACACAGTTAGCCTTGTCAAATGGGTTTTTGCCTCATTAATATGCATGTTTCTAAAAAGCACGTACACTACAATTGATGGAATAACTTCCAGAAACACTCTTCGTGTCCTATTTAAAGATCAAACATCTTTTCTCAATTTCGTTTAGAATGCACTGTTTTGATTATTTTAAAGCTTGTCACCTAGCGGTGAAGGGCTTAGCAAAACAACTGCTGCCACCGAGTAATGTTGCAAGCTAGGACAAATACGATTAAAGATTGAAAAGAATGCATTTATTTCTATAAATGTAAAGTAGTAGCGGGTTTCTTGATAACAGACTATTTCCTTGTGTAAAAACATTTGTGTTGCTCATACTGAATTTTTTAAAAAAAACTTCGACAACAAACTGTGTTTGTTTCTCCGATGTACTGAAATACAAAACCGGAAGCGGACAGATGCAGGTTGGTGGCATAAAAAAGGTAGCCAAGTGGACGTGATACAGTTTCTTTTTTAAATGCCTGCCAAAATTTGATTAAAAGTAACCCATTATTTTCTCTTAGTAACGGAAAA